GCATCTTCTTCTTTACGTACAGGTAGCATGCGACGTCGCCTCTGCAATGCTTCACCTCCATAGCCACGGAGTAGTCCACGGCGACATAAAGGCGTCCAACGTAAGGCCCCAGTCCTCCCTTCCCTACAGCCCAGCAGCCTGCTTCTTGCATATCATCCAACCCGTTCTGTAAGGTTTTTTGTATCCCTAGCGATTAAGCTATAGGACCCAGGGGGGACCGGTGCGGCTGGCTGGTCACGAAGGCCGGCGTAATGCCATGGCCGCATCACTAGCATGGCACAGCTACCGGTAATAACCGCCCCAACCGCTAACCACTCCACCCGGCTTAGGTGCTGCTCAAGACCTCCGCGCCCTCCATGTCAGACAGCACGCCGCGCATGCTCCCCGCCGCCATCGCTGCACGCGCCACCAGCTGCAGCGGCAGCATGGGCGGCGGCGGCGGCCTAACCCCAGCCGCTGGTGCTGGTGGCGGAGGTGGGGTGGGGCGAGGCAGCATGTCGACAGCAACCTTATCGCCCATGTCCTCCGTTTCCACAAATGCATGGACTCTGCCGTCTATAGGCTTCACGGCAAAGGTAAGCGGCGGAGGGGCGTGTTCCCTTAGGGTAAGGCCACAGGAAGTGTCTGTTTGACCCGGGTCCTAAGGCCACAGGAAGTGTCTGTTTGACCCCGGGGGGGGGGGGGCACGGCACCATGTGCCCAGCTACCAGCCCGTGTCCGACCTCCTGCTTACACCTGCCCGCCTGCCCACTTCCTGTTTTATCACACGACGAGGTTCTTCCTAATTACCCACTGCTTGACGTACTGCCCTCCTGTGCACACTGCAGGTGGCAGACTTCGGCCTGAGCACGGTGTTGGGCTTTGAGGGAGACACGGAGCTCACCCACATTTCGGCTCTGACAGCGCAGGTAGGTGTACGACGTGCATGCCTCGGGTGCCTCCAAGGAGTGCAGTACAGTATCGTCTACCAGGAGATGCGTTTGGATACGGATTGCTACGTATTGTCACATGCAACATGCGAATCGTTGGGCGCGTCATGCTTTAGCTTGACCTGTTTCGCATCGGAGGACATTCACAAAACTTTGCTGAAGGTTTACCACCGCAAGCCTCCTTGTGCACCTGTTGCCGTACATGCCGTACATGCATCATGTTCTGACACCTGCTTCACGCCTCTGCGTCCGCCGCTGCAGGGGTCCTTGACGCACATGGCACCTGGTGGGTTGCTGGAGGAGGGGGTATGACATCTACCAGTACGGGTGCTGATGCACGTTCTGTCTTACACCTTACAATTTACAACTTACATCCATAGTATGCAAAGAAGCATGGCCACGAATACACAAAAAAGTGATGATTAACACTCATTGACGGGTTGTTCCGCACGCGTGTATGGGGTTATACGGCCCCACTCCCGCCCAGTGTTGTGCATGTGCAGAGCATGCACCGCCTGTCCCCTGGGGGCGTTCCAACGCTTCTTCACGCTCCCTATCCGTTCCATTCCAAAACATTGTTCCATCACTCAGAACTCATGAATCACGCTCGACTCCCGCCCACTGGGCCAAGTACGAAGCATGCTGTCGTGTATGCCGCCGTGCCCCGCCCGTCCCCCTCCCGGGCTTTCCAACGCTTCCACTTCCTCACGCCCCCAACCCGCCCCAATCCAGAACTCATGCTGCACGGCCACATCTCCAAGCGAGTCGACGTCTACGCCTTCGGTATCCTGCTGTTCGAGCTGTTTAGTGGCGAGCGCGCGCACCGAGGGGTGCCTCGGGCGCTGCTGCCTCACCAGGTGCGCAGGTCTTCACTGTACGGCAGGGATTTAACTCTCCTTTCTGTACGGACCCCTTGTCCGACTCGGTGATGGCTTGCATGGGCGCATTGGGTGCCTTTCGTTGAGGGCATGCATGCACTGCCTCCATGCAGGTCGCCATATGTGGACTTCGTCCCGCACTGCCGCCCCACACACCGCCCGACTACCGGCGCCTGGCGGAAGCCTGTTGGCAAGCTGAACCAACCAAGAGGTATGTACGGCAACTGAAAGCGCTACGGCTTAAGGTTGGGAGGCGCTTGCATGCAAAGGTGCATATGTGATTCCATTGCTTGCGCGTTTGCTTGTCATCTCTTTTTCGCATTACCGGCAAATGCCAAGTCTGCTACCGTACAGCAGGTACCCTACCGTTTCCATGATTTCAGCCCATCCCCTTCTTTCCTCCTTTCCGCCCTCAGGCCGAACTTCGAGGCTATCTTGGCTGAGCTAAACCGCATGCGCACCGATCACTTGGCGGCATCAGCAGCAGCAGCAGCAGCAGCCACAGCTGGAGGTAGCCTCCCGGCGCGCGGATACCCCTCCTCCACCACCACCACTACTCCCACTGCCAGCAATCCCACCTGCAGCACCCTCGGCCCTTCAGCCACGGCCGCTGCCTTGGACTACGAAGCGCAGCCCGATGGCTGGGTGACGGTTCCCTGCCTGGAGGCTACTACCTGCGATTCCGAGCTGTATGCAGAGCTACTGAGGACGACGGATGCAGGCGGTGTTGGGGACATTGGGGGCGGCGGAAAAGGAGGAGAAGGCGAAGGTGAGGGGGCCAGGGGCGAAAGTGAAGGCTTGACGGCCACGGATGTACCATCGATAGCAGAGCCTCCAATTGCGGGCTTCAGCGGGAAGAAGGATTGAGGTGAGGGTGACGGTGAGGGTAAAGGTGAAGGTGAGTGGATACACATATGGCACAGCGGTGTGGCAGCTGCAGCTGCGGCGTGGGGTTTGCTGGTGTCGTACGGCGTTGTACGTCGTGGGCGATGTAACGCAGGTAACTGAGCTGGCATGGATTGTGGGTGAGTTGGTGAGGCATGTGTGGGTGTGCGTGGGCGGATGGCATCTGGCGTGTGCTTCTGTCCACCGGCAGGTGTGGGTGAAGGTGCGATGCATGGTGGCAATTGCAAGGGGCATGCTGTAGGTGGGTGGGGTTCATCAGCGGTCGGTTCAAAGCCACGGTCTCGGAGCTGTGCCAAGCATGTTGCACGCATTCCTTGCCGAAACATGGCGATGAGAGGGCCGCAGACAAGAAGTTCGTATGTCGGTGCGACTGCTGAGGGTTTTAGGGTGTTGGTGCACAATCCTGATAGGGTGAGAAGTCAAACCCCATCTTGAGGTGAGGCGAGACCTTCTAGGTTACCTGGCTAGTCGTCAAGGGGTGAGGAGAGTGTGGGTAGTGGACGTAGAAAGGTGGTGGCGTGCTGCTGACAAGGTAAGCGTGTTGGGAAAATGCTTTGGCTGCTAGGTCAAAAGGTGCGCAGCTGTTTTCTGATTGCATGTTGCGGAACTCTATCTGGCACGCAAGGTGTCTGTTACTGCGAAAGAGGATTGCACAACCGGCCCAGGAACTTAACGCATGCATGTTTTTCATCCGTTGGAAGGAGGTGGTTGCAGTTTGCCTGGTAGGGGAAAGCGTCGTTGAACATGTGGCTAAGGCTGGTGGAAAACCCATACTACGGTACCTCGTACCGATAAAAGCGGTTGTCGTAGATTGCGTAGCGCTGCCGTTGCGAAGCGGATTGAATGTTGGTGCTTGTTGGCGGCGTTGCGTTGTTGTTCAGTTGCACGGCATGAGTGAAGACGTACGCATTACAAAGTAAGTGAGGACGGCCGTACTGCCGTATCAGATGCGCGTCTTGAGTTGCATTCCGCCCGCATTCTCCTCATTTTCGCCTGCCATACAGATGGTTGGAGGTATTGGATGTATTCTCCGATTGTCTGTATGGGAGTGCATGTTAGCGCCGTACGTGCTCGTCTATATGCGTTTGCAACAGATTGCCTGAGACTTGCTGCTTGGTGGTGAGCAATCATGCGGATAGGGGGAGCTCCGGTATGCGTCTCGGAGGTACGGTCGAGGCCTTTTCGAGTTTTTCGAATATGCGAAATATGCGAGACCTGTTTAAGTTTTGTGAGTTCACCTAAAGTGCTCTAGCATCGGCGAGCCTGGATTACTTTGGCGTGGCCCGTGAGTGTCTTCTGTCCTGACAATGGCGACGTTCTGCATCTTCGGCATGCATTTCCCTACCGGAAACCCGGCAATGGGTTCTATCCGGTTTTCCTTCCTCGATCGGAGCTTGACGCTTGCTCGTTATTGTTTGTTCGAAGTCATGGGAAGCAGGCAGGTTGCTGTAGTCAGGTAGAAATCCATGGAGGCCTATTTCGCAGGGGCCGCGTCGAAGAGGGTCGCAAAGGCGGTTACCAGTTGTTGTTGTTTGTCGGATGATAGGTAACAGACCCATGGGTCGCTTTCTGCAGTGGTTCATTGTTTTCCTCCCGTCCTTGACGATCCAATCTTTGAGGCTGCTTGTGCCATTACAAGCGCGTCTGTACCCTTTCCAACTGTACTTCCATAGTTCTTGGCATTCATGCCATTGCACGGCAGGGGTTGCATGGTCTTTTTTGTTCATCATATGCGTCCCTTATTGGCTTGCAGGACAATAGCTAGTATCTAATAATGCGCACCTGGGAAATGTTTTCCTCCCGGGCGAGTCATTGGGTGGTAGTAGTAGTAAGCAACCCCTAGCCAAATGGTAGCCGTAGCTGGGAAGGCTAACCATAGTCGTGTATTGTAGCGTAGTGAGTCTGTGGTGCTGTGAACAGCGCTTGGCGTTGACCAATAGTTCGTAGCTGATTCTACTTGGACGTGAATCTCCGTCGATTCGGATCTCCTCCGCTGCTCATAACCTGTGGTGAATAACTAGCCGCATTGGGTGCTGTTGGTTGGCATGCCAGCCGACATGCACTGTTAAGCCACGGTGGCGTGTTGCTGCCACTGAAGAATAAATGTGTAGATTGGGCAGAATGCGGTTCTCCTAATTTCGTAAGCCCGTGGGTGGTGCAGATGTCCCCTGTATAAGCGCCACCTTAGGCCCCTACTATGGTAGCGCGGGAATGTATTGTAATTCGGGCTCTCCTGATAATGTGGAGAGTTAGGGGAGTGAACTTGCATGAAGCCACGGATGCCAAACATCTTGGGTGCTTTACAACTGTGGAGCTATAGCGTCCAGGAGCACAGTTGACGTCCTTGCAAGGCTGCAATCCATACATAATACCGTGCCTCTTAGGCTACGTTCCGTGACCTAAACCTAACCACACACAGCGCAAATAAAGCGACCTGGAACGCAAGGTACGCAATCTCGTCTCTTAACGCCAGGCAACTGCCACCTGAATCCAAAAACACGAGCTCTACATACAGATGAGTATGTGGCCACGGTCACGCGCAGGAGAACGGCTCCCAACTACCAACGTCTCGACTACTGCTCTTGGATGGGGTCGCATGGCCAATCGCGTCGCGTGGGCACAGCTGCGTGGGTGCAGCCCCATGACTAAATGCACGTGTGGTGCCCTCAAGAAGGCCGGGGCCATGAGACACGGATGACCGCTGGGGGCGGGGTCAGGAAGGCGGTTTGGTGGAAGGAAGCATTTAGTACTCTCTGTGCGAATGCTGCGGCCGTAGGCAAGTGGTCGCATGGGGAACGATGAGGATGAGGGCGAGCGTGCGTACGTGAGCCTGCACGGCAGTGAACACGAATGGAGTAGTTACCCAAAAAATATAGGTAGTTGGCTCACAGGCTTTGTCCCGTACTTGCCCACCCTGTTCCCCATTCATAAGGTACTTACATTGGCATTGTCAGCTGCTTCGGAGCTCAGCCAGGCTCGTACATACCAGGCATGATACTCAGCCTGGGTGCTGATTTTGTTCAGGCTGTGCCTCTTTTTCATCCGTCTGCTTGCTCAACTGTTTCTCCAGCTCCTCAAAGGCGACCAAGCCGACATTTTTAGGCGGCGTCGGTGGCATGAACGTTTTTCCCAAGCTTTTCCCAGATTCCTTTGCTTCCTGCAGCCAGTAGCGCGTCTGTGAAAGCATGCCTCGACACTTCGGCCCAAGTGCGCTGAGTCAACACGAGCATCCTGCGCTTACCAACTTTGACACTCTTTCCTTCCACTTCTCAAGCGCATCCGCGTATTGGTCCCACACACATATATTGCAACCGCTCTGGGTGAAAACAGTGGGAAGTATGGTGGATTGAGGTGTCTCACGTAAACAGATGTTCGACATGGCATCGCTACCTGACAACAGTCCTCCGGTCCAGGTTCAGTTGGTTTGCGTGGTAGGGTTATGCTTCTAAGCTGAAAAGGAAGGCAATTTATCCGAGTGCGCAGCTGTTTGCTTACTGTCGGCATCATCATTCTTGGCTGAAGCACAGTAAGTGATTGCTTAAGCATACGAGTATGATTTTGTCTTTGAAGCGTCCTATAGAGGTAATATCAACATGCCAACGACAGTATCAGTCATCATGTTTATTTTGCCGTACAGGTTGGCCAAAAACGTAAGTCACTGTCTCTCGACGGTCCTGCAAAGTAACAACTGGACGGTATGAAAGCAGCATGCACTGGCTGCGACCAGTGCTATGATGTCGCCAAGATTGGGGACGTGGGACTCTGCGCAACGTAACAAACATTACCTATCCTTTTGCTCTTCATTATTCTGGACAACATTTATATATGCATAGCAGTCATCATTACTGGCCTGTGCTGTGCTGTAAGGGATGTTGCATTTTCTTCCGCCATGCAACAGCCTTCTGCGCATGGCAAATGGCACATGCAGAGGCCAAGGGGCAACCTTTCCGCAGGTTTTCCAGGGTTCACTCCACGCTCTCCTCCAGATCTTGGCGAGTTCTAACCCAGTCCTATGCGTCAGTAAACGGCACGCCCTCCCGTCCTTTGCTATCACCTCACACCTGCCTCCTGCAAACACTGTATAGCAGCCTTCACGGGTAACACCGAGCCGTGTTAATAACGTGTCAAAAACATGCGCGTTCCTAGTCTCATCCTGCTTATAAACTATGAGCATTAGGCTTCCCTTGACAACTCCCCATGGCTCTTACCGAGCATTGCCGTCACGGAGCCGATGCCATACATGAACTAGACAGGAAGGGGTGTGTCGTAACCGTTTCATTAACGGTAAGCACCACGCACACCCTCCAAGCAGGCACAAAGCTGTGCATTGACCTAGCTATGGCCGCTGAATTCCGTTTGCGTGATAGGGGCGCACTGCTATGTTGTGTAATAAGACCGCTACAGTGAACGAACATCCTTGTTTCTCATGTCTCCGCCTTTCAACACAGATCTTGATACAGACACTAAAGGTAAGGATACCTACTAGGCACGACACCACACTTTAGCGGCTCCCTCTGCACATGTCCACCCAGACACCTTCACCGTTGCTACATGGGGGAGTCAATGCCAGTGCTGCAATGTGAAATCCCGCTACACGCAATAGGCACCCTAGCGATCCTTCTTTGCCCCATCCTTGCTTCCTTGCTCCTCCTCTTCCGCCTCCTCCTCCTCCTCCTTCTCGATCTTCTTCCCGCCCTTGCGTCGGCGCGTGCCCTTGTCCTCCGCTCCCTCCTTGCTCTCATCGCCCTCTGGCGCCACAGCTGCCAGGGCGGCACTTTCCTCACCCTGAGGCAGTGCAGCTGGCTGCTGCTGCTCCTCCTCCTCGGCCGCGGGTTGCTCCGACCACCTGTGAGCATTTGATGTGTGTACCGTTAATGTCGACCCCGTAATGGTGACCAGCACGATGGCCAACAGAAAAACAAATGGACGTGTAGGAAAGTGGACAGACAGCTACTTAGGCTACCCCGACATGGTATCCTCCAAGCTACATCTCGGTTGGATAGCCATTCCTGCCGGTATCTCGATGCAAACGGCAATAACCATGCGTACATGTGCCTGCCGTCTACCTTCCTGCCTGCCTACCTATCCTATCTATCCGTCCAGCTGTCAGTTTGTCTGCATGTCTCTCCGTTTGGGCCTAATAAGTCCTTGTGTCCGAAGCAGGCTCCGCACGACCCAAACTTTCACTCACCCGAACTCATTGGCGCGCGTCTTATCCACTCGGTATACCCAGCGCTGGTAGAGGTAGATGAGGAAGATGACGTCATCACGGAACACCGACAGCCTGCCGTACAACAATGCGTGCGGAGAAACACATGAGCAGGTGCCGTACAGATGCCGTACAGACGCAAATTAACACATGAGCCATACGGTAAAACACACGCAGGAACAAACAAGCAGATGCCGTGCAATCACACACACGCATGAACGCGTGGACAGGAAGGGTGTTAGTGTTATATGACGTCACCAGACGACATGCCACGCGAGTAGAAGCGCAAGGGACCCTTGGCGGCACTACACAGCACCACACCGCACGAGGTCACATGCATCCAATCCAAGTCCCCCCACCTATGCAGCAGCGGCATCTTGATGACAAAGGCAAACAGGTCGTCAATAATGGTGTTCAGGAACTTGTACGTCATTTGGCGCCACGGCAGGTGAGCCACCGACTTGAGCTTGTAGTTCAGGTACAGCTGCGTACGACACAAAAGAGCGTGCGATGAAAAATGTATGGCAATCCATCCATGATGCAGGTAACGAGTTTGTTGCTTCCATGGCCCTGAGAAGGCCCATGACCACATCGTTGATAGCTAGTTGGACAACAACAGTCGACGACAAAGAGCGAACCTCAAATGAATTGCGTGTTTGACACCCGCCCGGTCTTCGTGGGTTTGCCTAGCTATGGGGTTCGAGCCTCTCCAGTGTACACCCGTTCCCTTGTCACCCCTGGTATGCCAACTTCAATGCATTTCAAAACAACATGTTTCTCTCACCTGCGGGCACATGAGGATGAACCCAAACATGTAGACCGCCCCCACCAAGCTCGACAGCACCCAGCTGTACCAGCTCTTGTGTGTCTTGTACATGAGCGAGTAGATGGAGTAGCCGATCACAAGCGGGTACAAAGCGTACGACAGATAGCGCATCGCCTCCGCGTCGTACTTCTTGGTCTCCTTGTTGCTGTACGACGCCCTGGAAAGGAGAGGATGTACGGAGGGGTAATGCGAGAAGGCAGCGGCAGAGGCGGTTAGAAGGCTTAAATGTCATCACGGCCGAAGGTGAACGAGACGGAAAGGTCAGGTACAGCGACTGATACAGCCACATTTGCACATAATCCGTGCGCATGCATGTAGTACCACATGTAGTACATCGCATGAGGGCATACCTGTCCTTGAAGGTAATGTACGGGAAGCGCTCGCGGTTGATGCTGACGTCAAAGGCCTTGGTCACCTTCCAAAGCTCGATGCCCGTACCCAACACCGATGACAGCAGTACCACAAACGAGGTGTCGTTGTCGAAGAGGTACAACAGGATTACAACCTGTAGTACGGCACGCGGAAGTTGAATTATCATTAGCATGCGGCGGCATTAAGAAGTTTCCGGGCAATAATAAAGCAGCTGGATGGAAAGCTGCACACGACTGCTGCACACATGGTTCGCACAATGCATTCAATCAAGGGGTGTGCTTCTTTCCAGCACTCTTGTTACCGCCCTTCATACGAGGTCGGCGAGCGACCCACGGGTCACTTCAATCCAACCCACACCCCAGGAGATCCACCTGGCAGAAGGCGTTAATGGCCACGGTGCGTGCCGACAGCCCCTCCATGGACTTGTTGTTCTTCCAGAAACCAATGTCGTTCTTGAAGGCCAGCATGTCGAATACGGTGTGCAACATGGACACCGCGAATGTAAGGGCCTGCGGGCAGAACCAACACGACGATCATGCCTCGTGTTAATACTTACTGAATGGGTTTAGGACCTTGACAGGGATAGGGATGGATGCATGCCGGTGACAGCGGCGTGCGGAAACCGTTAACCACGTGTCCTGGCATGGCCCATGGCGCGCAGGGGTTTACCAACAGATCGAAGGTTCCAATGCAAACCCTGTTAACACACCCCGTTCACTCCCTTCCCTCCACCCCAGCAGCCCCCAACCACCCCTTACCAGCAGGTAGGGGTTGCCCTCGATAAAGATGCGCTTCAGCTCGTCGCTCTCCCCGTCCTGAGCCATGCCCATGCGGACCTGCATGCCGAACGACTGCTCCATCTGCACAGAAGAGACGGCAGCAGGGATAACAGGAATTTTCAGCAGGACGAACAGCGACCCGAAAATGGGGGCCACAGCGCATGGACAAGGGTCGACATAAACGGGACCAATGGACATGCCATGACGAAGTGCATGACATGACCCATGGGTCGGCTCTGCGGCCATCCTTACCTGTTGCAGCAGCTGCCACCACATCATCGACACGTAGCCCAGCTCAAAGTGGATGGTAACACTGTCCAGCGTCTCATTGACCTGGGAAGCCGGGAGAGGGTTGGGAGGAGGGGCAAAGGAGGTTAGGACACCGATATTCCAAACAAGCCTTCTACACCGCAGCTTCCCATGCCGCCTCTCCTAACCAGCCTCTCCCCACATTGCGGTCCGCACCGGCACCAGCTCGTCCTTGAGCCTCTAAAGTCACCCTTTCTCCCCGCCTTTCCTTTTTCAACCTAAGTACCGCCTTTCCGAATCCTCCCCCCCCTCCCCTGCTCCTCACCGGCACCAGCTTGTCCTTGAGCAGCCAGAAGTCGTTGAGGAAGAGGATGGGCAGGAAGTTGCCCTCCACGTTGGGGCGCAGGTGGTCCACCAGCTGCGGGGGCACACTCCTGTTGCAGAGGTGGGTTGGGTAGGTGGTAGGGTTAGGAGCTTAGGACGGGGTGGGGCAGGAGCGAGGAGGGTGGCAACATGAGCAGTTCTGCGGCCAATCCACTAGGGCCCATGTCCACCCCCCTCTTGGCGCACCTGCGGTTGACCGCATCAAAGTAGTTGACCACTTGCAGCGTCACGTTGGGTCGCAGGTAGTTGAGGACCTCCCGAGGGGCGTCCTTCTCATCCTGGAGCAGTGGGGCGGAGGAGGAAGGAGCGTGGGTCTCAAGGGGGCATGTAGGCATATCCGGAAAGCGGCGGCCCGAAAGCCAGAAAACGCCTTGCCTCCCTTCGCCCAAGTCCCACCCGAAACGACCCAAACCCCACACCCTCATGCGCGCCCTCCCTCACCTTTGGCAGGTCCGCTGGGTTGTCCGACAACAGGTTGACCCCCGTATTGTTGCGGGGGCGGGGCCGGTAGGTGTTGAGCTCTGCGGCGGTGAGGAGACACGAGGGGACACGAGGGCACGAGGGAATTCAGACATTTCGTTATGTATACTTGTTCCTCCTCGCGGCCAGCATTTTTAACAGGAGGGATTGTTGAAGTCCAGGCTAGCCAAGCTGGCGTGCATAGCGGTCGGGAGGTTGAAAACCACTCTGGCCTACCTGAGGAGGCAAAGGTGGATAACGTAGATAGCTATTGACAACCCGCGGTACGGTCGTGTGTGCCCCATGACACTCATGCGCTAGGACGCTACACTCACGGTATTGGTAGTAGGCGACGGTCCTGGGGTCGAACCCCGGTTCGTGCATCTGCAGCGGAGCTCCCTCAGCCGCCAGAACGACATGCAGCCACACGGAGCCGTTGTTCTTTACAGCCTGAGGTTGTGGGAAGAGAGTCACATCGAAGGGTTGGGTGCCATCGAGACAATAAAGATATGGCCTAGGGCGTAACGTGCCAAAGGATGAAAAAGCAAAGATAGCCTCCATGTCCATCTTTGTCCCTACCCTGCTATGTCCCTGACTTGCCATGTGCTGCGCTGCCTGCTATGTGCAGCTGCTATGGCCCTGGCCTGCTGTGTCCCTGACGTGCCATGTGCTGCACATGTGCTACACTGCCTAAACTCTGATCAGGTATGTAGGCAACCCCACCACCCGGAGCACACCAAGCCTGTCGTATAACCCGGGCCGCACCCAGCCTGCCGTACTCCTGCCCCCTGCTGACCCCACCTGGGAAGGCTCGTACACGTACGTCAGGTTGCGCTGCTCCGTGGACGAGCCCAGCTTGAAGCCCGTCTCCGACCAGATGAGGTCGGCCATGTCAAAGTTGTTGCCTGTTCAGGCAGCAAGACACACGCCAGGCAAAAAGCAGGTAAGCAGGTTAGAAGAATGCGTGTGCCCGAAAAGACGTACGGCACGTTGGGTGCATGAAGCTGAGGTGGCTAGGGGGATGGTTGATGACCTGAGATCTGCCGTCCCCGGCTTGCGACCAAATGCAGAGAGTTAGGAATGTTGTTGCCATCCGCTAAGCAGGTGGCATGCCACAGGGCCCCATCACCCGAGTAGTAGCCATCCTCTCACACGCCCACCAGCTTCCAATGTACCCCCTCAAGCCCTCCCATGTCAACCCCTCCCCACTTCTCTTCCCATGCGTTTTCTATCCTTATCTCCCACGTGTTAGTCCATGCGGCACACGCCTCATTCCCACCCGGGCCCATCTCTACTCGTGCAGGGGGCTTCGTACGCATCCCCGTCCCTCACATTGCCCCTCTCATGGCCCCTCCCATTGCCCCTGCCATCGCCCTCACCTGGGTAGCGGTTATCCTCCTTAAGGAACACGTACACAACCACCAGCTCCCCCCGTTGGAAGGCCGGGTACATGTAGCCGTTATCCGCAACCGCCGCGCCGCCCGCAGCGCCCGATTGTACGGCAGGCGGCGGCGGCGCCTTGCCCTTCATGGCATTCATGAAGTAGTACATGACGCCCATGCGGAGGACCATGCCTAGCAGGCCGCTCAGCCCGCCGCGCTGGTTGGGCTGTTGCTGCTGCTGCTGGCCGCCGGCTGCTGCGGCTGCTTGGCCGGCGGCCGCGCCTGCCGCAGCTGCGGCGGCGTTGGCCGCGACATCGGCCATTAGCACGCGAGGGGGTTCTGGTGGAGGGAAAGGGAGAGGGAAAAGGAGAAGGGGGAGAGGGCTTGTGTAAGGGGCGGGAGTAGAGGAGAGCTGAGGGGTTAGAAGGTACGAGTCGAGCAAAGATGGCTGGACAACCGAAATAAGTATGTCCCTTCGTATGGTAAAGGTCCATAGGACAGCGCTCGTTAGTGTCAGCCCATTGTCCCATGTCGCCCTTGTAGATCCAGGACGAAGTAACCAAAGTCGTGGGTGAAAGCCGCTTAACACAATTATTGTGATTATTGCTCATTCATTATTAGTATGACGCACCTTTTTCGCTGCTTGCAACTTTGCCGGTGTTTGCAGGTCGGCGGCTTAAAAGGATGCCTGCTTAGAATGCCCCAGATCACCTAGGATATAGCAACCCTGTGTCGGCCGCACGTTTATAGAACACTTACGGCTCAGTATCGATATGATACCCAGGGAACACTAGTCTTGTATTCTGGGCAACGTCGCCTATGACTGCAAGGAAAGCTGCGCGCAAAAGAAGCCTAGCCAACTAATCCGATGGAAGAATGCCGATTACCAGTGCTGCATAAGTGCATTTGGCCAGGGGACATTTACGAGCCGTACACGCGGGGGCAATTTGGCGCGGCAATGCCACTTCCCATCCCACATGCATACCTAACATGCGATTGACGATAATTATTGCGACTTCGTTAATGAGCCATGGCCTACCATAGTGGATTCAACGAGGCCAGTGATCGATTTCGCGTGTGCTGTGGGTGTCCGCTCGTCCCGTTGAACACGCAAGGAACCGCAGGAGCAACCAATAATAGCGATGGTGACAGTGGTGCATCATCGCCAATGGACCCAGTTGACGAAGCCATTGAATTGTTTCGGCCGAACTCCCTGTTCAAGAGCTTCGATATCCGAGGTCCCGGCGATAAGCTACTCGTGTACCTAATTATGTTTATAAGCAGCTGTTTACGACGTAAGTCTTTGCCTGGTACCAACCGCCCTGAAGTCCTACGGTCGCGGCTGTTTCCTTGCTCAATCCCTTTCCCACCGGCCTGGTCTCCATGCACCGCACGGCGCACCTTCGGGCATCATTCTTTGCCCCGTATTTCAGCCGTTCGCCCATTTCCCAATTCCCCATCACCCCGCTCTGCCCCCTTGTTCTCACACTCCACTTCCACCGTTCATTCAACACCCACCACCTCGGCTGTCGCACCCCATTCCCGCACGCCTTCTACCGCCCCAACCACACTCCTGCCTGCCCTGCCGCCCAACCCTGCCGTACACCCTTGCCTCCTCCTCCTCCGCCTCCTCTTCCTCATCCTCTTAGGCATTGCGGACCGCAAGCCGACCCCCAATCGCGAGGAGGCACGCAGCCTGCTGTTCTCACAGGCGCACGACCGCTTCCCGCTGCCGGGGCAGGCGGGGTTCCCGCTCGGGGCACTCATGTCCGCACCCGCGAACAAGGAGGAAGAAGGTGGGCTGTTTGGTTGGTCCTGCTAGACGGCCCTGTGGGCTGGCTGGCTGGCTGTGTGGTTGGCTGTGTGGGTGGCTGGGTGGGACGTCCAGGGTTGTTGGACCAAGGCGTGCGTGGTAAGGACTAATGAGTAAGGGAGTAAGGGGGAGTTATAGGAGCATGCGGGTTGGGGTGTTGTCGGGCGGTGTTCGCAAAGGAGCTGGAGATGGCTGGGCGGCTAGGTGCAGGAAGGCAGGTGCCCCTAGCGAGGAGTGAAGGGACGTGTACTCTGGCGACGTTCTCCGATCCCCTAATCCCCTCATCTTGCTCATCCCTCATCGCAGAGACCATCCGCTCCTACCTGCGGCAATGCAGGGAGGAGGCAGGACGCCGGCTGGTGGACCGGATCTACACCGCCAGCAGCAGCAGCAGCGGCAGCAGTACCGGCGGCGCCGGCAGCGGCGGTGGAGGCAACAGCGGCGACGCTTCCGCTGCCGCGGTGCCCAACAAACATTGGCTCGCCTTTGCCAACCGGCGCTTCATGGATCGTACGATATGACGCAAGCCGGGGTGGCATCATAACCGTGTAAATGGGAATACTGCTGCACGTATCCCTTTACGGTACTTTCACGCAGGTTGTAACTTCGCAGCTACAGTAATAGGTAGGTATGGCGCATGTTGGAAGGGGGTGGTTAGGCAGCAGGCAGAAACCGACCCACCGGGGCGTGCAGGGAAGACTGTTGCGTCAGGAACGACCCGTAATTTATGGACCGGCGGAGGATACCGGTTTGTGACTGGGGCAGAGTAGGTGTAGAGTAGGGGTTGACTGGGGAGGGCAAAACGGCTGGGCGACTGGACGGAATGGTGTGTGGTTTGACTGCTGCCCTTAGCCTGCATGGCTGCGGGCGGCCTACTAGTCACGTGGTGCTTACGACGAGGACTGCAGTTGGAAACCGTTCCGTTTCTTTTGCAATGTAAGGTTCATCACCCGTGTTCCCTTTTAGGGCACCATTGTAACGGTCATTCATTCATTTAACGGCATGCTAGCCAGCACATGTGTGAGCGGTGCTGGCTAGCATGCCGTTTCCGTGTGACGCAGCAACGGAGACAATGGAAGCAGGTGGTGGCTGTGGATGGGGTTCTTTGTTGGGATGAACGCAACCATGGTGGCGGGGCATATTTGTAACATACCACTATGTTACCGCGTATCCTTGCAGCAGATATTAATTGCAGTGGTTCAGACGAGCATGAGGGTTGTCGCGGATGGACGGAGGAGTACCATTCGATGCATGGCGAAAGGCTGGCGTACTGAATGACGCAACATAGCCCACGGTTCTGGTAGCTGCTAGTAAACATATGATTAGGACCGGCACGTCATCTGACTATTAAAGCAGCAAGCCTTCCGCAACATCGATGTTGCTTGCTTTCGCTCCAGCTCTGCCTACAGCCCGGTAGCCAGGAGCGTTTCCAAGTAGTGCGAGAACCGTACCCATGTATTCTTCTAGATTAAGATTAGCTTATGCACTTCGATTTAATCCGTTGTAGCTTTCGCGGCGGTTGGATTTTAAGCGGGACTTGCTGTTAAGTTGAAAGCTAATACCTAGCAACATGTTTATATGGCATTATGTTGAAGGTAGCATGCGGTTCTCCCGAAGCACCACGAGGCGCGGCGGGGTATGAACTTCGTTGTGAGAAGTTGGTCAACGGCAAACTGCCCAGCCGAGTCATATCAGAAACCTTTACAAGCAACGATGCAATGTCCAACAAATTTTTTCGCATGGTTTACACTTTATCCTTGCTGTGAAGGCCGAGAAATGCTACTTCCTTGCCAGTTCTTAACGTAACGCCCGCGTTACTGGCCGCGACAATACATATGGCAACACGGTCTAGCTTTGACGCACTAGAGCAACTAGCAGATATCCTTGTAGTGGGAGCTGGTCCCTCAGGCTTGGTTACGGCTGCGGCCTGCGTCGCGGCCGGTTTCAATGTCGCCGTGTTGGACTCAAACGCGTACGTGGGCGGCTGGACGTGCAACATTCCTGGCAATACGCTAGCTCCTGGTAAGCCTGGCACAATTGCAGCGAGCGGCTTTCCTCGTGCAGCGGAGTGCTGCCTGGCCTGTCGCGTCATTGGTTGAGTGGTGCCGGCTCTCCCGGCCCCCGTTACAGGCACCCTAGACGAACTCTTCCTGTCTCAAGCAAGCTTTAACACACAACTTCCTACCCAGCCGACGGTGAGTGCTAGAAGCAAGGCCTATTTTCGTCAAGCCGTGACTGCCCTTGTCGGCTGGAGGTTCAGTGGTCACTCTTGACGCCGTCTCCGAGCCGGTGTCTCCTATCCAACCCTGCCTGCAGTAGCCCAATCAGAACCCCTCTTTTAGCATTGCCGACGTGTCTAGCCTCCTGCTACGCCCTGTCATAGATCCGGGACGTGCAGCTCCATCTGGCTGCCTACGCTGCTTACCATAACGTCCAAGAGCACGTTCGCTTATCCTGCCGGCTTGTCGCACTTGACTTCAACCCAGCCTCCGGTTTGCAAGGCCGCTGGTGGGCGACGTTCCGCAACCTGTCGACCGGGAAGCTCTATCGGGCCTCCGCAGACTTTGTGGTCCTCTGCACCGGGCATAGGCTTCCGGAGAATGGCCTTAAGGTGAGCACAGGCCACATGGGGGCCACATGTGTGCGCTGACAACTATCCTCCACCCGGCCTCATTACCTGCACTGCTACTGTTCATGTCAAAGCTAGTAATCTTCGTACCCGGAACTGATGTGGTCATAGGAGGTCGAGGCGTGCACGGGTGCACGTGTCATCCACGCCAACGCCGCAACGCAAAGTGACGTGTCGTCAGCCAGCGGACTGGTGACGGTGGTCGGCGATGGTGGGTGCAATATTGCCTACATGGCCTTTCCACGTGCCGGTTACCAAACATGGTGTTTTCTCGACCCCCACACAGTAACAGGAGTTGCGGTTACTCCCCCATGTCTGGCATTCCGGCATCTCCCTTATTTGTAGCCAATTATGAAGCGCTTTTCTTCCATTCCGCCCATCCTCGACAACTATATGCTGCTTAACGTAGCTCTCCACCCTTACTGTGCACTGTCCAGGTCAAGAAGCAACAGACTGTGCCTCTTCGGTAGCTTTGCTGCGCAATGGCATGGGCGTACGACAGCACATGCAGCCGGTGAGTACGGGGAGCTTTGTTGCGAAGTTTGGGGTACAGCAAACGCATGCCTAGCCCTAAGGCCCTTGCATGCCAAGAGGGAGCTGAGCCCAGGGGCCAGGAGGCGTGCACTCTCCCCTTGCATTTGAGCTTGCAAGTAAGGATTACCTTAAATGGTTCCATACCAAGCCGTTAAGGAATGACATGCCCCGATGCTGCCCCCTATCCCTAACCGTGTGCAACTGGCTGTAGCAAACCGGCCATGCGGACGGGTCGCCCCTGGCATGGTTGGACGGCTCCTCTTTGCTAGAATCCGCACGCCGCAGAGCTCTACACGCCGCCCTTCAGCCACACTACAGCTTGCGACCGCATGGAGCAGTGCGGACGGCCCTGATGGCGCCCACCAAGCGTCGTTTCTGGAGCTACGTCAAGGGCAAGGCAACGGCTGCCAAGACCGTGAGCGATGCGCATGTAGCTTCAAGATCGCCGCAACCTGGGCAGCCGCACGTTGTGCTGTGGGCGCCCAGCCTTCGCGACCCACGGGTCATGCCGTTCCTGCACCCGTCAGTACGGACGGCGTTGCTGGGTTCTCGCGAGAGCAGCCCGAGTCAGGGTGCGTCTTCGGAGCTGCTGTACCGGGGAATGCTGCATCCAGACGTGCCTCGGCTGGCATTCGTGGGGCGTGAGGTAAGCCTGGGCTGCTACGTGTATTGGATGCGTACGGAAGATGGCATTAGGGCCGTATCATGACAGCTGTATGCAAAGGGCGCGCGCATGCGCCAGCGGGGTGATGGTTTACTAGTCACATGCTACGCCTGTGGAATTACGGCTAGCCCTTTCTGCAGTTACACCACCTGCTATACCCGTTGACGCCATCTTGCTCCCGGCCGCCCCCCATCTTGCTGACTGCATGAGTCGGGATATGGGATTGGGACTCGTTGTTTCACTTATTTAATTTTTCCCCCATCTTGCTCCCGCCCCCCCTCCCTCCTTACCCAGGCCCACGCCAGCACCAGCTTGTTGGTTCTGGAGCTGCAGGCCCAGTGGCTGGTGGCGCACCTCACCTCCAGGACCCGCCTGCCGCCGGCGGAGGCCATGCGAGCCGACATCCAGCTTCAGAGCGCCTGGCGTGCTGCATCGCTGGCGTCGCCGCTCATGTCGACCCACGGGTCAATGTCCCGGAAACACGAGCACCATTACGTGCAGCAGCTGCTGTCTGACCTGGAGGGCATTGTGGAGCTGAGGGTGCTGCAGGGCAGCAGCGACGACCGCAACCCTGACGTTTCGTCTTCCTCGCCTCACGGCTCCTTCTTCCGCGAATTGGGCGCATGCCTTTGGGGCCCGCCAGAGGCGCCGGAGCCATATCCGACGCCGACAACCGCCGTCCAGCCGGCAAGCTTTGCATCTGTCATCAGCGCGGCGTCGTTTAACGGTCGCTATGGTTCAGAAACGGCCAAGAACTGCGCGCCCAACGTGGCTGAGGGCCGTCGTCGCTGCTCGCTCGTTATCACATCACCGCTGGTGGCGCCGTACCTTCAACAGAAGCTGCGCCGTACAGTCACGCCCTTCTGCCTCCCAGATGACGACCTCTGGAGTATGGCCAAGGAACCTGCCGTTGCTGAACAGACAGCGCCAGCCGCTTCGGCGGACAGCCCCGGTCAAGTACCCGTACCTACGTCGTCGGCCCCCGTGTGCCCCATCCGCGTAAGCACATCAGGTACCGGCTCCAACCGCCGATTCAGCGTCCCAAGTGCTAAGACGTTATGGTGGCGACAAAGCGACAACGGCTCCATGCCTCTCGGAGGAACCCGCTTGGGCGTGTCAAACCCATTGTCCGCTGGCCAAGGTCACAACCGCCCATGCGGCACGCTGAGCCCCGCCCGTGCGTTGTTGATGCCCGCGGGTCACCGCCGTTCCATGACAAACCTGGCCGTCCCTACCTGGGGCCCGGACGCAACCTCCGTCAAGGAGTCCGACGAGCTTCAAGCCCGGCTGCGACGCATGTCCCAGTCGACGGGAGTAGAGCTCTCTGCTTTGGTAGACCTCATGACGGATAGCCAGCCGGGTCCTGCGCGTTTTGTCGGGGTTTGCCGTACGGTAACACCGGCACGTGGAGCAGTCGTGACTTCACTTTCCTTCATGGATGGTGTCGCCTGCGGCAACAATGACGGCTACGGCAGTTCCGGCATCACTGCTGATGTTCCTGGTATGGGCGAGCTGGCAAACCCCTTGGTCATTTCCCCTGCAACCGCCGCGGCCTCCACGGGCTGTCTGGAGGGCGAAACCGTCAGCGAAAACGTCCTTAAGACCGGTGATACCAGCTCTGCGGCAAGCCGCTGCAGCCCAGCAAGCCTCTGCAGCCCAGCAGGCGTTGTTGTCTACCAACACACCAGTACCCTCAGCTGCTCCATGCCAGCGGCTGTCAGCAGCGGAGCATCAGCACCAGCTGCCGACCCGCCAGCAGCAGCGTCCGAAGCCGTTGCTGATGGGGACGCCAAGCCTATCCATGCAGTGAAGCAAGCGCTGCTGCCACTCCAAATGGCGCCGTTGGATCTGTTCACCATTCCCATTCAGCAGGCCGACGACGCCACACCTCCTTACGGCAGCTTTGCGCGTGTCTCCAGCCCTGAACCCCCTCAGTTCATGACCACTGGCCCGTGTTGCTTCTCACCGCCACGTCACTCATTTTCAGTCAATGATATCGGAGCCCGGGTCTGCAGCCCAAGCATTGCCTTTGCCCTTGCCGAGCAAGAACTGCCGTCGCCACCGGCACCGGTGATGCCGGCGACATCCTCTGCGGCTCAAGACGGGCAGTCCCAACAGCCGCCTTGGGCCCCGAGCGCCTTCCAAACGGTACAGATGCAGGGCTTTGCTGGCGACAGCAACGACT